GATCCCTGGTGACCCCCACTTTGAAAAACACTGTGCTGCATCACAGTCATTCCTACTGCTCAGCTTGTACCCATGCCTTAACATGTTACCATTATTTATACTTTTTATGTGTGTAAACAGGTCAGAATAAAGGTCAGTTTTAGACTTTTTCACTAACATAATCAACAAAATGAAAAAATTAATAAATATTGTGTGTTAGGGAGGCCTAAGGAATGAAAGTTATGCAGTTATTTTGCAGGAAAAGTTTGGGATTGTCCATTTTATATTATATGTAGTGTTCACTTCCCTCCACCAGAGGTCGCTGTGAGACCTCCAGGAGGAAGAGTCACTTCTGATGGGGCAAAACTATTTCAGATCAAACTTAGCTGAAAAATGATAAAGTTAAAGCTCAGTCCTGCTGCTTATTGATTTAAGATCATTTCTAAAAGCAACTTTGATTTTTATTCTTGTAATAAATCTCGTTTAACTCAGTCTGATCAAAAAAAACAAAAGTAATAACGACGTGTTGGCGTCAAAGTGCATTTATTTTAAAATCTGAAGAGCTTCTTGGAACAAAAACAGAATTTCACTGAGTGTGTGTGTGTGTGTGTGTGTGTGTGTGTGTGTGTGTGTGTGTGTCTGTTTTTGTGACCTTTTTAGGGCCTTTAAAAAAAAAAAACTTTCCAGTCGTCCTTTTCGAGAGCTGGTCCTAATACAGTGGGACCATTTTTGGATTAGTTACTGGAAGTGGTTAAAGTACAGACTACATTAACATTAATRTACATTTAATCCAACTATAATCTAAAATAATCCACTACGGTTCCGTTTGTTTATGTTCTGAGCTCACCGGCATCTTCAGCTGAGAGATTTCCAGTTTTGACGGAGCGTGAAGCGGTTTGTGACAGGATGAAGGATAACCCGTCATCGTGCGCTGCGCTGTCCGCTCACACTCCCTCACTCGTTTCCTCCCCTCCTTTTCTTCTCGTCTCCTCTCCTTCACCCCTTATTTATGATCATTACCTTGACCTGCGCCGGGCCGT